AGTAGGTGTTCCCAACAGGCAGAAATCAACTCTGATTGGCTAACAATTAATGAGAGAATGAATATTATAATAAGAAGTGGGCTTAGTCTAATGAGTGACTGGGGGAATGAGACTCCAATGAAATCACTCTTGGACAAAGAGACTCATCTCCACCCAGACCATATTGCATCTGGCAATCTAGACAAAGGGATCTACCTCTACCCAGACCCCATTAATGTAGTTGATTAGATTCTCTTTACCCTTTAATCAGAACTAAGTTTTTCCAGTTCAGTGGGGTCTGAACCAAGATTGAGGATAATGTCTCATTTCACTCCTGTCCTTCACAAGGACTGTGCTTTGAATGAGGAAATAGGAAGGGAAAATATATATGGATATCTCGGGTTAACAGGATTTTTCTGAGCCGGTCTCTAACCTGAGAATTCTTGGAGCCGAACAAAGCAGGCCTAGAGAAGGAGTGCCAGTAATCAAGTAGTGGTTTAATTAATCTGTTTCAGAGTGAGGAATGCTCTCTAAACTGAAGTAAAAGCACAGCTTATATAAATAAATCACAGTGGGGAAGGAAGGGGGAAGGGGGATTACAAACAATCGTTTCCCAGAGCCTTAGTGGTTTCCCACAACAAGCCCAGCAGTACAGATTAGAACAATTCTTTGTTTCAAAATTTAGGAGTTGTGACCACCCCCCCAGGGCACAGAACCAGAGTTCTGTGAAGAGAACAGGTTCTACAATCTTTGATTCGATTCACTTAAGGTCCACAGGTACAAGAATGCAGTGATTGTGAGATTGTTGTGGTTTGACCATTTCAAGCTGCATTGTAAATCTCTGACTCCCAAGCCAGAGTCTCCTGAGAAATCTAAATTATTAGTATATTTATTATACCTATATCAATCAATATGAAAATCATAATTCCATTCACACTCCCCTATATTAGTAATTGATTATTAATAATCATTTCTCTCACCATCCACTGCCTTTATTTCTAATCAGATGCTGCTGAATGAAGCTGGAGAAAATCATGAAACTCTGCTGACTGAATCTACTACAAATTCATGTTATGTGATTTCAACTAGGCCCCACATTGCAGCAAAACAATCCTTTTATACCTCCCTAATCTATTTACTATTCACTGCAATGGTTTTTCCAAAACTTTCGATCCCTTTTCAGACCTTCCTTTCAGCTGAGAACCTTGCCTCGTTATTTCACAGAAAAAAAAATGAGGCCACTTGCTTAGAGCTCTCTCTTTTTTCTTTCTAGTCTCTTATCACTTGGATACCTTCTGCTGCTATCCCTTCCTTCACCCCTGTCTCACATGAACAGGTGGCCCTTCTTGCCAAAGCCAATTCGTGATCCCATTCTATCTCATCTTCTCCAGCAGAAGCCTTTGTCCCTTTAAGCATCTTCACTCACACGGACTTTCAGTCCCTCCATGTGTACTGGCTATTTCCCTGCTACCCATAGCCATAACCATATCTTCCATATCCTCAAAAACCTTCACTTGATCCCTCCATTCTGCTACAGTCACAACAGAGATGTGTCCTACATCTCTCCTTTTTTGGTGGGCTAAGTTCCATCTTTGGCAGCTCTACCTCTTTCACTCTCTTCTTAACTCTATAACCAAGCTCTCAACCTCATAGTTTAACTGAGATTTCTCTCTCCATAGTTACCAGTGATCTCTTTGTTGCCAAATCTAATGGCCCTTCCTCAGTCCTCATCTTTCTTGTCTTTCCTGCAGTCTTTGACCCCATTGTTTGCCCCCTTTTCTTAGATAATTTTGTTTTCATGACACAGTTGTCTCCTCATTTCTTGTCCTCAGTCTCCTTTGCTATATCTTCATCTATTCTAGATCATGCCCACTAATACTGGGTATTCTCCAAGGATCTGGCCTGGGCTTTTTTCTCTTCTACTTCCATACTACTTCAAAGCTTGCTGATTTCATCAGCTCTCATGGATTCAGTTTAGATCTGTATTCTATCAATATCACTATCAGTATAGTAACTTCTCCTATGATCTCTAGTCTTGTATTACCAACTGCCTATTAGACATCTAAAACTGGATATCTAGTAGATATCTTAAACTCAACATGCCAAGGACCAAATTTATCTTTACTCTCTAAGCCCTCTCCTCTTCCTAACAATTACTTTTGAGGGTAAATGCTTACACTGAAAATTTAACAATCGGGTCTCTTTAGCAGGTTGGCTTCAGCATGTCTCTCACCTCCCAGGCACCTCGAAGGCTGTCAACCTGGCTGTCCTCCTTGACTCTTTAACCCTCTTTCAGCCCCATCTCAAACCAGTTATCAAGTTCTCTAATTTCTACCTTTTTAACCACTCTTGTATCTGGCCCCTTCTCCCCTCTGACATTGCCACCACCCTAATGCATCCTCATCATCTCAGGTCTGGACTATTGCAATAGCCTGCTGGTTGGTTTCCCTGCCTTAAGTCTCTCCACATTCCCGTGGATCCTTATTACCTCTGGGATGAAAAAACAAACAATAAAACCTTTTTGGTTTTTAAAGCACTTTATAACCTGGCTCCTTCCTACCTTTCTAGTTTTCTTACACCTTAGTGGCTTCCACGTACTCTATGATCCAGTGATACTGGTCTTGATGCTCCTTGAACCTCCTGACTCTGACCATTTTCACTGGCTTTCCCACATTCTTGGAACACTCTTTTTCATCCCTTCATTTTGGCTTTCCTGGCTTCCTTCACACCTCAGCTAAAGTCCCACTTTCTGCAAGAACCTTTCCTAATCTTACTGTCTTTCTTCTGAGATTATCTCCAATTTATCTTGTATATATCTTGTTTGTATATAGTTTGCATTTGTTTTTCCCATTAGATTGTGAGCTCCCTGAGAGCACAGAATAGCTTCCATGTTTTTGTTTTTGCCCTTTCTTTGTATCTCTAGCTCTTAGCATAGTGCCTGGCATATAGTAGGCACTTAAATGCTTATTTATTTGCCTTGACTCACCTCTCTCTAGCAGTGTGGCCCTGTGAAAGTCACTTAACCCTGTTTGCCTCAGTTCCTCATCTGTAAAATGAGCTGGAAATGGTAAACCACTCCAGTATCTCAGCCAAGAAAACCCCAAACGAGGTCACGAAGAGTCAGACATGAATGAAATGACTGAATAAGAACAATTATATATATGTATGTATGTATGACATATACATACACATATACATATATACACACACTTTCTTGCTTGTTAATCTCATCAGTTCTCATGGATTCAGCTACTTTACACGAATGAATCCCTATCTATTCAACTACCCTTGATCTCCTCAATTTATCTTGTAGCCTGTTGGACATCTCCATCTGGCTATCTTGTAAGTATCTCAAAATAAACATATCCAAAAGGGAAGCTTAGGTTTTCCCCAAACAACCCATTCCCTCCTCCAAACTTTCTCATTTTTGTCCCATTTTCCCTGTTCCCTATCCTTCCCCTTCTTTCACACAGCTTCTGCCCTAGTTCAGGCCCTTTTCACCTCTCATCTGGAATATTGTGTTAGCTTTCTAATTGGCTTCCCTGTCTTCAGTCAGTCAATAAATAATAAATGCTTGTTGACTAATTGCAGTCTCTCTCCAGTGTGTTCCCTGAGTAACTTCCAAATTGATATTCCCAAAACAGATCTAAAACCATGTCCCTCCCTTACCCAAAAATGAATGGTTCCTAATTGCCTCAAAGATAAAATACAAAATCCTCAGCCTGGAATTTAAGATCATAGATTTAGAGCTGGCATCTAGTCTGATATCCTCCTCTTAAAGATAAAGAACTGAAGCTTAGAGTGGTTATCTTGATTAAGGTCACACAGCTTTCTGAGATAGGTTTTGAACCCAGGTCCTCCTCATGCCAAGTCCAGCCCTCTCTCCATTAGACTTAGCTGCCTCTAAGGCCTTCCACAATCTGGCTCCAGCCTACCTTTACGTTCTTATTTCATATTAGTACCTCCCCTTCATTCACTTTCCATTGTGCTCATATATGTGTCTGTTAATTATTCCCAGGATACAACATTCCCTCTCCTGCTTCCTGGCCTTTGTAACACCTGACACCCTATTCTGGATTTCACTCCCTCCTGGTTTACACCTAGAATCTTTCTTCAAAGCAGAGTTCAGGTGCTACCTCTTGCAGCAGACATTTTCCACTCTCCCCTTGTTACTGTTCTCCCTTTTGAAACTACTTTTATTTTGTATTTTTAATTTATTTTGTATTATGTCATTATTAGTTTATATAATTTATTTTAGCATTTAATTTTAAAAATAACTTATTTATTCTTTATACATTTTTTGTTCATTTTGCATTATTTATGCGTTATTTTTGACTATACCTACTTGAGTAGCTGTTGTAGTCCCCACTGCCACAATAAGCTTTCGGAGGTTTGTTTTATTTTTTGCATCCCCGGAGCCTAGCATAAGGCCTTGCACATGGTAGGAGCTTACTGTTTGACTGGAAGCTGTATTTTTAACGGGCCCATTCCTGGGGCCGACGTCACCAACGGTGAGTTATCCCGTTAGAGCCTACGGAGATCTCCCGTTTCATTCCAGCCCCGGCCCAGAGATAGAGCCACGGCTGGAACCCACTCCCAGAGGGCTTTCCGCCGCACGCCGCGGCCGCACAGCCTCTCAAATATCCAGCAGCGCCTTCCAGGTCCGAGCCGGCGCCGCGATGTCCCCGTCATCTCCTCCCCGCCACCCCCCGCCCTCATTGCCAGGGACTCAGAGCGGGAGGATGGATCTCGGTCACAGAGCACTTTTACTTTTCTAGATTCCCTCCGCGTCTCTGCGGTTTGGGTGTTTCCATAGTAACGCAGTCTTCCGGTCCGGCAGTACCTTGACGCCCCGCCCCCCAACCTTTGTCCATCGGTTCTCCCCGCCCCCTGCGGGTTTTGTCCCCTCCTTGACGTCGAGCCGCCAGTGACGCAGGTTACAAGGCCCGCCCTCCTGCGCGCCGGCCAATGCTCCGTCGGCGTAGCGAGGAGCAGCAGGTCCTCTCAAGTTGGCAGTGCGGCGGGCGGCTCGCGTGCTGATTGGTGGGCGCGGAAGTCCGTCCGTGCTGGGCGGCGTTCTGCTGGGGAGCCCGGAAAGATGGTGGCCGAACGCAACAATCGGTAAGGAAAGCGTGAGGCCTCGCAGGCTCTGCAGTTCCCTCACCCCCTGGGGTCAGAGATGGAGCTCTCGACCCTCTCTGGGAGGCCTTCGGAAATCAGACCCCTAGGACCTTAGAAAAAGCGGCCTGCATGCCTCTGGGTCGGGAGCCGGGCGAGGTAGTTAGAAGAGGGTGTGTTCCTCACCCCCTCCCCCGCCCCCGCGGGTCAGCGGTCGGCCACGCCCCCTCCTGAGCTCTCTTAGGGCTTGGGGGGAGGGGGTGGAACTGGCCCTGGGCAGCGCTCACCCCGCCCTTAAAGCCCGTGCTGCGGAGCCCCCTAGTGCTTCCCTTCACCCTCTGTACCTCCCCCAACAGGCTCATTGGTGAAAACACGGACTGAGCTCCTGAGGTGAAGCAGCCCTTAATCCTTTCAGGCCTTCTAGACCCGCTGTTTCCACATGGCCCTAACCGCCCTGAAGGAGCTCCAGGCTGGGGACCATGCCCCCTTGCTAGTCTTTGAGGTGGGCAGGAACTCCCAGTTGGACTCCCTGAGCTACCAGTCCCTCGGCATGCGGCGAGTCTTCGTGAGGTTCCCAGAAGTGTTGTTCATACACAGGACCCACAATCCCCGAGGCAAAATCCTGTACACCTTCCTGGTGGATGGCCCTGGGGTGCAGCCCGAGAGCAGCCTGACCAGGATAGTGTATTTCTCAGTCCCAGTCAAGGAGAACACTGAGGGATTGGTTCAGCTGTTCCAAACTTTCAAAAAGTTTAACCCTGAGTGGGAGAGAATTTGTACCATCCTAGTGGATCCTTATTTCTCCCTGTTGCCTGTTCTAGCTATGGAATTTCCATCTGCAGAGATACTTCTGTCTGCCTTTCATGTATGTAAGTTTCTTCAGGGAAAGTTTTACCGACTTGCCCTAGAGCACTCAGTGAAGAAGCTGCTTCTCACCACCCTGAAGAACACTATGTGTTCAGCCACTGCCAGTAACCTAAAGAAAATGCACACTCTCCTTAGTGACTCTGTCCCCCAGGACCTGCAGCCTGGCCTTCACCTGAGCTGGCTACTAGATGACCGGATCTGGCTGGCACACAGGTGGAGGAGTAAGGCTGAAAGTATCTGCTACTTTCAGGACTTAGAGATCACAACCCGGGTTTTAAGCCAATTCTTTGGTATTGAATTGTCTTTGGAAAGGAGTATCCTTTCTCTGATAGGGTATTTGAAGCAGAACATGGAGAAGGAAGGAGCCTCTAACTCAGACCTGAATATCCCAGCCAACTGTACCCCCCCAGAGCCTTCTGTAGAAATTACCAAGCTCCAAGAGGTGGAAGCCTGCATCCAACATTCCTTGCAAACCATTTGTGCTGAACCTGCTGCCCAGCTCTGCTTAGGAGAGTTTGCTGTGGTCCAGAGGTCTGTACAGCTAATTGGCTCAAGCACAGACAAGGTGAATGTCCAGATCTTGGAGGACATGCATGAAGTACACCCTGAAGGTCCAAGCAGCTGTACCTGCCACTTCAGCCAAACATTTGGCCTGCCCTGCCGCCATATCCTGGCTGTCCTTAGCACCCGTCATCAAGTGCTGCAGCCTGAAATGCTACCTGAACAGTGGAAACCTGACTGCAGGACACCCCCCGGAAGTGTAGCCAGCCTGGCCAATATCCTGGGCAGCAGGTGGAATGTGGCCCTGGATAAGGAGCTAGTGGTAGCATTCCTCACTGGGGAGGTGAGGCGGCTTTTGCTTCAATGCAGCCGGGAAGAATTTGAGCGCCGCTACAATACCCTCCGTGAACTGGCAGACAGCTGGATTGGACCTTATTTCCAAGTGCAAGTCTAGATTTTCCTTCTCTCTGCCAGGTGTACTCTGTTATGACTCACCTAGTTGTCCTTCCTTAATCCAGTTAAAGGGAGTGATGATTATTGCCTAGGACAATGATATCATCTCTAAGCCTCAGTTTTCTCAGCTATTAAATGGGGATAACTATCCTGCTAACCTACCTCACAGGATTGTTGTGAGGAAAGCATTTTCTCAACTATAAAGTGCTTACAGAAGTAAGATTTGTTTTTACCCAGTGGGGAAAAGGGAAGGAGCAGTGTACCCCACCACATTCCAACTTGCTTTGCCAATACTTTGTACTCTTATAAGGTCAACTGACCTAGATGAGGAGAAAGATTGAAACCAATGTTACAGGTCAGCCCAGCTGCCCAGTCAACTGACTCTGTCCCCCATGACCAAGCAAATCTAAGCATTTTTGCAACTTAGGCAAGGAACTTTCACCTATACTCTGGCCCATTGCCCTACTTGGTCCTTGTGACTAAACCTGAATGCTGCTGATGTTAATATTGCTCATTTAGAACCTTAGCCCACCACTTTCCCTGGAAAAGAGTATTGTTTGTCATTCCTAACATTCTGTCCCCTGCCCATGCCAGCAGGGGAAATTTGGATTGGATAAAGGTTTATAGTAAAGATAGTAAGTTGACTGATTGCTGCTACTGTAGAATCAGGAAAAGAGTACTACCCCTTCTTCTCCTCCCCAATCAGTTCTTGTAGCCTTAGGTTATTGCACTGTTCTCGGGCCAAACCCATTTTCCTGTAAAAGTGAATAAACTTCCCAGCACTTGGCAGTATTGAAGCACTGGTGTGTAAATATCATATGCTCCCCAGACATAATCCTGTCCCCTGCAGAAATTGGGTCCCCCACCTAGCTGCCCAATAACCATGCAGAGAAGCTACCCAGTGAGTCTAGTGCAATTTCATCTGGCTACAAGCAGGAAGCAGGACCCTGACTCCTTCTGGGCCCCACCAATGGGGCCTGGCCAAGCACCATGTGAGACTGGGCCTGACCCCACCTCCCCTCAGTAGCCCCCTCAGGCTCTGGATGGGCCATCATAAAGGCCTGGGCTGCCCGGATCATGTCCTCTTCCCTCAGACCTGGGACAGGCACAGTGGGGATGCCAGCAATCATCATAGCCAATGTGAGGATGCAGATGTCAGGCTGGGAACCAGGCTCCTTGCCCCCTGTCTCTTTGGGCACCAGCAGGGCCCCTGGAGATAGTCCACAGAGCAGCAGTGGCCTGTGCCCCCCAAGGCCACCCATCTGCCCTCCAGCCAACTGAGGGACCCTGCCCGGTGGGCAACCATCCTCCCAGCTCAGGTTCTCAAGCTGCCTCACACGAGGAAACTTTCTGCAGTATTTGCCATGATACTCTTTCCGCCGAAGCGGCTCCCAGCCAGCCCCCCCTGAGCAGATCCCAGGTTCTGGTGTAGGTAGAGAGTGACCCCAGGCCTGGGGAGCTGCCTGATGCTCAGCTTTCTGGCTCAGCGGGCCTGGCCCTCCAGGGGCCACCACCACTGGCTCCATGGTACCATAGAGGCTGAGAGAGGAGCTTGGAGGGCCTGCCCCACCTGCAGAGACAGGAATGAGATAGAAAGTGGTTTACAACCCCATGAGACCCTGAGATGTTGTATAACTTTAAGAACCACCTAGGATCAGGCAAAGGGGAAGTTCAGGTCAGGGAACATTTTGAACATTTATATGGTCTAAAATTAGAAGGGCCTTTAGAGATCATCTAGGCCAGTGCCCTCATTTTTCAGATAAGGTAGTCCAGAGACATTAAATAAACTGCATCAGGGTACATATATAAGTGAAAGAGCTGGGATTTGAACTCGACTATTCTGACTCTTAAGTTCCAGTATCTAAGTGCTACTTGCCTTTATCTTTGGGATAGCAGCTTTAAAGCTACAGTTTCCCAGAAGGGACAACTTCCTGGGACACAGCATACAAGTTACAGCATGCCGGGGTAGTTGTTCCTCTAATCCAATCTAAGAAACTTGTCTCACCTTGGCCAGAAGTAAGAAGACCCGAATGAGCTCTCTGTGTCATGAAGTAGGACATGGCTACCATAAGGGCCCCAGGTTGTGAGGGAACAGTAGAACAATTCCTTCATGTCCTACCCCACTCACCCTTCTAGAACCTACCTCACAACCAGTAACACAGCCTGTGTTAGCTGGAATCCACCTCATAGCACTGGCTTGTCCATTCTAGAATCACTGTACCTCTTCCTGTGTTAAACCAGGGCAAAGGAGTGTGTGGAACATTGACAGTGTTATGTTGTGGAAGGAGTATTTTGGGAGTCAAATGATGTGGGTTCAAATCATGTCCTATGCTCCTTACCTGTGTGACCCTGGGCAAGTCATTTAACCACAGTCTAAGTGTCTTTATTTTTAAAAGAAAGGATTGGAATAGATCTCTAGCATCCTTCCCAGCTCTAAGTCTTCTGATCCTATAACTAGGAATCTAGTGATCTGGGTTCCAGACCTGGTCCTACCACTGACCTGCTATGTGACCTTGGCCAAAGCACTTTCCCTTTCTAGGTCTGTCTCATCTAAAACAAGGGCTGGCAAATTACTGTCAGAGGGCCTGTTTTTGTACAGCCCCCGGGAGCTAAGAATGGTTTTTATATTTCTAAAAATGTAAAAACCATTCTTAGATGGGGGTGTAACAAAAAAAAGGTGATTGGTCAAGTAGTCTGCCAGTGACTCCTGCTCTAGAACAAGAGCTGTGTATTAGATTATGTTTCCAGTCCTGGGATGTCTAGTAGAACACTGGACCAACACCCCCCCCCCCCAAAAAAAAAAACAAAACAAAACTGGGAGATCTGGATTCTTGTCCTGGTTTTACAGAATAAACAGGTGTCCTTGCCCAAATCATTTCGACTCCCTGCCTCTCAGTTTCCCCATCTATAAAATGAGGAGTCCCTTGCCTAGGCTACTTCAGAGATGTTTTGAGAATCAAGTAAAATATGTAAAAATTTGGAAACTATGACATGTTAGATACACATTAGAAGCCCTGTACTAAGAACCATCAAAATGTGAAATCATCATTCCTTTTATTATGACCTCTAGCAGGGTGGCCCTGAGGGGCTCATTCTCCAGTAGGGGTAGCTCCTTCAAAGACTTGGCCATATGTGAGGGCACTGGGGGAAGGCATTCCTGAGGTTATGATACCAAGCACAAAGGAGTTTTACTGCTATCTGCACCTAGAGCTGCCTTTTGGAGGTAAAGAGAACCTCACTCATATTTGCAGAAATCTTTGAGCCCTGTGGGGAGGTGGAGCCCATCGATGGCAAGCCGATGTATCACATTTCTCTGAATGACAATGCGGCACAGGGTCTGAAGAGAAGGCACTGTAGAGAAACAGAAAGATGGATTGGAGATAGGAAAGAATGGTTTTAGGTCAGCCTTGGCTGGCCTTCCTCATTTGAATGAGAGATTATCAGGTGTAGCCTGGGGAAGTAGATCTAAACTAGGAATCAGAAGACCTGGGTTCATTTCTCAGCTCTGCCACTAATTCAGTGTTTCCTTGGATGAATCACTTCACTGTTTTGACTCCTATTTCTCCAGCTGTGAAGCTGGAATACCTTCTTATGTACCTCGCTAGCTATGAAAAGAATGTGAAAGTACTTCGAAAAATGAGGCACCACACAGCCACTGAAAACCTTCCACTACCAGGCGTCTATCTACTTTCCAATCTCATCTCCTACTACTGCTCTTCACAGACTGCACTGGATTCACAGGTTTGAATTCAACTGTATTTATCATTGCTTCTCAGCTCACCCTCTCTGGGCCTTTGCTCACAGCACACCTCATACCTGTAATAGCTTCTCGTCTTTTGAAATCCTTCCCATCTAACTCAGGTGTCATCTACACAAAGCCTTCTTTCATCTCCCTAGGTGGAAGTAATCTCTGCTTCCTGGGATCTCATAGCATTTTATGCCTTTTGTATGCATTTATTCTACTTTATAGTATAATTTTCTGTGAATGTCATCTTTCCCTCTTCCTCCACCACTCTAAGCTCCCTGAAAGCCCAAGGACCTTATCATTTTTCATCTTTCATCATACCCTGTACCTGTTCACTAAAGTCGACCTCTGATATCTGATCACAGCATGAAGGTGACACAGGGTTACACCAAGCAGAGCAACAGCTCCTAACCAGTAAGGGACTTCGTGGGTACTATATCTAGTAATGATGATTCTAATAGCTCAAGATTCCATAGCATTTATTAAGTGTTTTCCTAATGACCATCCTATAAATTAGGGAATAAAAGTATCTTAACTTTGCTCATTTTTCAAACCCTTTTGTTTAGAAAGTGCCCCTACAACCTTGTATCACAGTGCATGGTGTTATATCCATTTTACAGATGAGGAAACTGGGGCTTAGATAAGTTCAGTGACTTACTCAGGGTGATGTTGCGGGTCCTAGTCTTTTTCCTCCAAGAACACTTACGATATAGTGTCTGATTAGTGTGGTATAGTGGGGAAAAAATACTGGACTGTCATCAACTGGTTACCTATGTGACTTTGGCTATGTCAGAAAACCTCTCAGGGGCTTGGTTTCCTTAGCTATAAAAACAGATCAGACTAGTGATCTCTAGGGTCCCCTTTTCAGTTCTACATCCCATAATACCCATTTTACAAATGAGGAAAAGAAGACTCAGAGATTTGCTGGGATGACAGGCTTGATCTGGTTATTAGTGATTCTGACTCAAGGGTTCCACAGTGCTCAGCAAGCCTATACCTACACCCATATTCCAGCTGGACCAGGTGCACGCTCTTGGTGGACGCAAAGACATCAACCACAGCATAGAGAGGCTGGGTGGTGGGCAGCCCTCGGGCGCTGGGGCCCATGTCCTCCCCGTTAATGAGGATGTGCATGTCGGCCGTGCCGTCCGGGCGAGGGCAGAAGAGCACTCCGAGGCGGCTGCGCCGAGCTGTGGGCGGCAGCACGTTAAGCTCATAGAGCTGGTCCAGCAGGTGGCTGTAGCGGCCCGGCCGGCTGCGGCCCACCAGGCGGTCGCGGGGGATCCGCAGCTGCTCGATGTGCAAATAGGGCTCGTCCAGCAGGCCCGGTAGGCGGCCCGGCGGCTCCTCCTCTTGGCCTTCGGTGGCCACGCGGTTGTGGTGGCGAGTGATGGCAAAGACCCAGCTCCGGCCCAGACTGACCAGATCGGGCAGCGAGTACTCGGGCACGGGGGTCAGGCTGCCGGGGTCCAGGGCGGTCAGGCCCAGGCGAAGGTGGCCGCACCAGCCCAGCTCCTTCTCTTCAATCTCCACCAGGAACACCTGGCCCGGCGCCAGCGGCTCGCGGCTGAAGCACAGGCCGTTCGCGAAGCTCTCCACGCGGGTGGCCCGCGTCCCCGACTGGTCCACGCGAATGTTGACCCCATGGACCTCGTGGAAACGGGTTGGAGGCGGCTCTCTGTACGGAGCGCCTCCGGCAGGGACGGGCACAGGCTGTGGGGCCGCCGCCATCTGCCCGAATCTGGTGGGGAGGCCGGCGCCAGAGGCTATTTTGGGCCCCAGGGCCAGGCGCGGACTTGGGGAGGGCCATGTAAGCTCCCGAGGGTCTCCCGAAGGAGGCGGGGCTGGCCTGGTGTGTTAGCGCCGCCCGCTGGTCGCGGGTGGGCGCTGACCAGCCTCGGCCGCCCCGGCCCGGAGAGGAAGGACTCCTCGGTTCACCCGTGCCTGCAAGCGCGGGAGGGGCGCAGAGTCATGAGGGGTGACCCAAAGGCGACCGTGCAAGTGGGGCCCACCCCTCGTGACTCCTCCACCCTGATTAGTGATCAGGTGACCTGGACCGATCACGTGATCCCAAAGTTCATGTGACAACCAGGCTTTACCTGAATCCCGGAGAGAGCATCCCAGCAAACCAGACGGACGCTGAGAGCAAGGTGAGCGGCAGGAACCGCGGCTGCCCTGGGGCCCGCGCCTCCGTCCTCGCAGCCCGGGCGCGGGGGAGGCCGGCAGCGGGGCGTCGGGTCGGCCCTGTTTCCTCGGGCGCTGCCTCACCTCCCGAGAGGAAGTGCCGGCTGGTAAATACCCATCTCCCCGCAGATGGGCCCGGCTGCGCTGCTGCTGCTGCTGCCTCTGTTGGGGCCAACCCCGGCCGGGGCAGCGCCCAAACAGGACGAGATCCTCCAGCTGCCGGGGCTGGCGAAGCAGCCTGCCTTTCGCCAGTATTCCGGCTACTTGAACGTCGCAGGCGGCAAGCACTTGCATTACTGGTCTGAGTAATGGGGCTGGGCTGAGGAGGTGCTCGGGGGAGGTTGTTCTAGGCCAGGGAGGCGCGTTCTCCAGGGAAGGGGGTACCGACTGACCTAGGACCTGAAAGGGCTGGGGGGTCCGGAAGATGCGGTTGGAGGTGTGGGTGGACATTGCCACTCATACTGTCCTCTCTTGAAGGTTTGTGGAATCTCAGAACAGTCCTCAGAGTAGTCCAGTGGTTCTGTGGCTCAATGGGGGCCCAGGATGCAGCTCCCTAGATGGACTCCTCACTGAGCATGGCCCCTTCTTGGTCAGTACCCTCCATCTTCCTTCTCTTTCATCTCTTTGGCTTTTCACTTCCCCTTTGTCTCCAGCATTAAAGGATAACTGGAGAGAAGGACTGAGTCTAAAGGGAAAGAAGAGGCTCAGAGAAAGGCCTTCTTCCAAGACCTTTCCTACTATTCTTCTGGCCAGAGAGACACTTAACTAGGGCTGTCCTTCCTTCCTTAGATCCAACCAGATGGAAATACCTTGGAATATAACCCTTATTCCTGGAACTTGGTAGGACTGGGGGAAAAGAGTCCTTAATTACTGGGGGTGAGGGGGAGAGGACGATAGAGAGGGAGAGCAAAATATAAACCTTGGGAATTTGAAGCAAAGAATCCCCTACAGCTGTCTTTCCTATACAATCCCCAGAATGCCAACGTGCTGTACCTTGAATCCCCTGCTGGTGTGGGCTTCTCCTATTCTGATGATAAGAACTATGTGACCAACGACACTGAGGTGAGCCTTGCTAGTTGCTCCCCCACCCTTCTCAGCCTTTCTCCACAAGCCAACCCCCACACACATTCTATACAGTATTACTTATCTGCTCTTTTACTCTCTTTGCACAGGTTGCCCAAAACAACTATGAAGCCCTCCGAGAATTCTTTCGCCTCTTCCCTGAGTACTGTAGCAATCAGCTGTTTCTTACTGGGGAGAGCTATGCTGGCATCTACATCCCTACACTGGCTATGTTGGTCATGCAAGATCCCAGCATGAATCTGCAGGTGTGAGAAAGGAGGAAAGCCTGGAAGTGAGGGGGTCTGGTAATGGGGAAGGAGGCTCTGCTCTTAGTTGGGCCATAGTTCTTTGTCATCCCAATGTTCTCTGAAACACAGGGAGCCAAAGCTTTGTGCTGTCTCCATATTCTTGGGTCTGTCTTGGTCTTGGTGGGAGAGCTCTTAGGAGGAGGAGGGGAACCCTTGACCCTTGGAAAAACCTACTCAAAACTGAGTTCTCTTTATATGTATGTATGTCACAGGGCCTGGCTGTGGGCAACGGACTCTCTTGCTATGAACAGAATGATAACTCTTTGGTATACTTTGCCTATTACCACGGGCTGTTGGGCAACAGGTGAGGGGAAGGGGAAGGCTGCTGAGAATCTGATAGAGAAATGAGAGCTATGAAGTAATAGCTAGTTCATAGGACTGGGTGGGGAAGGATCTTAAAGATAATTGATCTGGATTTGACCCTTGGCTCCAGGCTCAACGAAGGACTGGAGAAGGCAAGGGTGGGAGGTAGGGGAATGTCATCACTCCACTAGAATGTAAATTTCTTAAGGTCAGGGACAGGAGTTTGTTTCCTTCTTGTATCTCTGAGCACAGGACCCTACATATCAGATCCTAGGATTCAGAGCTGGCAGGGAACTTAGAGATCCTCCATCTAGCGCCTTCACTTTACAGAAGAGGAAACTAAGTCTCAAAGAGAGAAGTGATTTCTGTAAAGTCACACATATTTAGTAGCAAACCCCATGGCAGTAATGTCTGCTGAATTGAATTGAGGTGCTGCCTGCTGGGTTTTTAAAGCTGATAAAGGGAAAGGGTGGGTGGCAAACACTACCAGGTTAAAATATTTATCAAGTGATTACTGAATACTCAACATCATCCCAGGCACTAGAAAAGATAAAAAATGTTGAGAATAGGATTCTTTTGTGACTACTTTTTCTCTTCAGAACTGCCTTTGGTATTCATTGGAACAGGACCTGGGATATGAATGTTGAGGGGGAATGACATAGATCCAGTGTGATTTAGTCCTCTAACTGAGGGAAGGAGTTCCTTCTCAGTTCCTTTTTGGTCACTCACTTTAATCTTATTCAGGCTATGGTCCGCCCTTCAGACTCACTGCTGCTCCCAGGGGAAATGCAATTTCCATGACAACCAGGACCCAACCTGTACCCTTAATGTGAGCTTCCCTCTCTTTCCCTGTCCTCTCCACCCTCATCTACTCAGTCCCCACAGTCCTCTCAGACTAAACCTCCTGGGCTTCCAGTCTGTGGGTGTATCCACATTGATTTGTCTGCCAAACCTCCTTAGAGTTTCTGTTGCCCCTCTCTAGGCTGTTGAGACCAGAGGTATCCATGTGTATATTTACCTGTGTCTTTCTTTCCCCCAACCATTTCTTTCCCCCAACCCCTCTGCTCTTCTCACTCCTCCCCCAATATATACACATACTTTCTTGTAGCTATTGGAGGTATCTCGTATCGTAAGCAATTCAGGGCTCAACATCTACAACCTCTATGCTCCCTGTGCTGGTGGGGTTCCTGGCCACACCAGGTATGTGCTGCCATGGGGAGGACCTGGAATCTCTCTCTTCGGAGGTTTGGCCATATGCCACCCCCATCCCAGGACTCATGGTCACTCTCTTGGTCACAGGAATGAGGATACATTGGTAATACAGGATATGGGGAATCTCTTCACCCGATTGCCAGTCAAGCAGATGTGGTACCAGGTAAGTTTGGGGAAGGGTGTTAGGCTAGAGCTCAGCTACGAAAGTACTGTCTCTGCTTCTTCATGCCAAAGATATCAAAGTGGGTAAAATGGGTTGGGTCTCTACCCTTTCCCCAGGGACCAAAAGAATGATTTTATCCCTTTCTCAAACTCAAAGAACATCCTAAGATTTATAACTGAATGACCTTTGAGATCATGTAGTCCAACCTACCTATTTCACAGATTTCCCATAGAGGGAAAGTGATTTGCTCAGAATCGTATGGGTAGTAGAGCCAGAATTGGAATTTGAATTTTTGAACTCCAAATGCAAATATTTTTCTACTGAAGCTGAGGGTATCTGTATCCCATCTCTTCTCTGTTGTGCTGTGTGCCATCACTCCACCTGATGTCCTCTTCCTGCTAGCCACCCATGTGGGCCCACCTGGGCAGGAAGGCCACAGCAGTGGCACGAGCTGTTTTCTCTTAGCAGGCACTATTGAGAACTGGAGCAAGGGTACGGCTCGACCCACCCTGTACCAACACCACGGCGCCCTCCACCTATCTAAACAACCTCTATGTGCGCAAGGTCCTACACATACCTGAATCTGTCCCACGCTGGGACATGTGCAAGTGAGAGGCCTGGGCTGTGGGCTGATTAATGTCACTGAGATGGGGGGGGCAGGGTGGTAAGGACAGGGAAATCATGGTGGTCATTGAGTGTGAAGCTAAGGGACCTTACAGCAGAAGAAACTTTAGCGATACCATCTAGTCCAACTCTCTTATTGTACAGAGGAGGAAGCTGAGCCCCAGAGAATAGCCCATCTCCTCAGTGTTACACAGTATTAGTGGGGGTGCTGAGACTAGACTAACAGTTTCCAGGCCTGGAATGCCACCTTTCTGACTACATTTCTGGCCCCTTTTCTGTTTGCTAGCTTTGTGGTGAACAGTAACTATCAGCGCCTCTATCAGACCATGAATGAGCAATACCTCAAACTTCTCAGTGCCCAGGTGAGTGGGGCTGGAGCCTCCTGAGATCCTGTATCCTGTCTGTTAGAACCGGAGAGGAAACTGAGGCTCAGAAAGGGGAAATTCCTCTTTCAAGGCCACCTTACATGTTAGTGGCACTTCAAAGACCTGAGCTAGGGTCTCAGACTCCTTCAGTTTCCTTCTCTGTTCCACCTTCTGTTAAGGGAGAGCCTTTGACTGGTGAGCAGGGAAGGTAATCTGCCTGTAAAGCCCAGGAGTTATAACTTGAGTTATAACTTGGCATTCCCCTCCATTCTCCTACAGAAATACCGCATCCTGGTCTACAATGGGGATGTAGACATGGCTTGTAACTTCATGGGAGATGAGTGGTTTGTGGATTCCCTGAACCAAAAGGTGGGGAAGCTAGACAAGTAAGGAGGTTGGGGTGAGCAGTGTAGGTGGCAAACCATGGGGCAGCCAGGCAGAAAGCTGGCAGCTGTTGCCTTGAGTTTGGTTGGTTGGTTTGGTTCTTGGGTAGAAGACTTTCAGGGTGGGTCCTGGTGCTTACTGACCACATCCTCCCTGGGCGGCTGGAGGCAGGTTGAGGTACAGCGTCGTCCATGGCTAGTGTCTGATGGTAACGGGGAGCAAGTTGCTGGCTTCGTGAAGGAGTTTGCCAACATCGCCTTCCTCACTATCAAGGTACCTGAGGGTGGGAGGGGGATAAAAAGGAAAGGGTGGAAGTGCTGGGAGGGGGAGCATGTGGGGTCAGAGATCTCCTGGGTAATGGCATGAGGAGGAGACAAACATCTAGGTGGAGAGGGAGGCACCATAAAGCTTGTCTGAGAATCAAGAGCTTGTGTGACTGCAGGTTGGAGGCAGCAGGAACCAGTAGTGAGAAGGCCCGGCCTTCAGTCTGGTTTCTGCTGTCTGTGGGACATTGAACAAGTCACTCCACATCTCTGAACTCCAGTTTTCTTTAAGATGGGATACCGGTACCACCTGGGGTCAGTGTGAGAAAAGCACCTTAAGGTTTGTAAAGTGGACTTTTACTACATCTTGGCCCTTTGTCCTCCAGGGAGCTGGCCACATGGTGCCCACTGACAAGCCCCTGGCAGCTTTAACCATGTTCACAAGATTCTTGAACAAGGAGCCCTACTAAGTCTCATCTTGCCCTGCAGTGGGGGACAGAGGAGAGCCAGTCAGCCAGTAGCCCCTGCTTCCTGCCTGGGGATGAGGCCTGGCCATGTTTGGCTGAAGTCTCTTTGACTGGCCAAAGGGAATCCCTTGGTTGGCCAGCTGTGCACAAATTTCCCGTGTGGAATTAATCAGGGTTTTGAATAGGGGGATTAATTCAAGCTATTTGAGGGTATGAGTTGACACTGGTTTATTCTTTAGGGTAGACCTTTCGGGGGGTGGGGTCCTGGGGTACCTCCTGCATGCCATCACTCACCATGCACTGTTCCCTACCCAACATGGAGCTCAGGACTATGCACATGTCACCTCTGTAGGAACTGGAGTTGGGGGAGAGGGGAGAGAAGAGCAGGGCTTGACTCTGATTATGGGAATAAATGGTCCACAGCCCACTTCTGTCTCTCGGTCCTGACTGGGGATAGGGATGGCTTTATTGAAGGGATGGGGATTGGTTCCGTACAGTTTGAAAAAGAGAAAAAAGGGAGGTTGAACTTCATGAATAAAAGACGACTTGCTTGAATGAATGAATGACAGCCTCCCAGAAGCCTGTTCAGGAGGTAGGGGCAACAGATTGAGGTGGAGAGGAGGTGGGCCCAAGGTCACCAGATGGCTGGTTCTTTTCAATCACCTCTCGAAGACCTTTGGTGAAATGGAGATCAGCCCCAATGGTCAGGAATCCCTAGAGTTCACAGGGGGAGAGAGGATATGAGAAGATGCGTCCAAAGCTCCCCTTCTTCCCCAGCACTCTGTATAACCCTCACTCACTGCCTGGTTGGTCACCACCTCTTCGACAAAGTCAATTCCCTCGGGGAGTGGTATCTGCACCCCACGCTTGGTTCGATCTGCCGGAAAGGAAAGCAATAGAACACGCTCTTGCGTGGCTCCGAAGGACAATCAGGACCAGTGGGTAGTCATTAGAGGGAGGCAGAGATACCAGCTCAGGCCCATGCCTGTGCCGTTCTCTGATGGGATGGGGTGCTGACCCAGGAGGTGGAGGCTGGATGTCTGCTGCCCAGGGAAGCTATGGAGGGATCCCTGCTTGAGGGGGGGGCTCGGACTAGATGATGGCAAGGTCCTTTCCAGCTCCTAAGAGTTTAAAGATGATGCAGAGACTAGAATGGAGGCTATAGTGAAAGCTGGTCTTGGAAGGAGTGAGCCATTTCCTGGCTATGTGACCTCCAGGCACTTACCTTCTCTGGGACTTCTGTAAAATGAGGAAGTTCCTCACTTAGCGAGTTCCTCCCTTACTAGTCTTCAGTAGAAGTTTAGACGATCACTTGTAGATGTTGTAAAGGACAATCCTCTTAAAGTATGGGTTGGCCTAGATGATGTCTACATTCCCTTCTGACTCTTCAGGTTCTGATTCTGTGACCTGCTCAGCCTGGGACTCCCTCTCCCCAGCTCTGCCCAGCTCCCCACCCCATCCTCCGCCCTGAGAAGGTTGGCTTACCATTGAGCAGGGGCATCACCACGATCTGTAGCAGTGTCTTCAGTGGTGCCTGCAGGGGAATCAGCTGGGATGGGGGAGAGAGGGAGAAATGAAGGATGGGTTTCTGGTAGGCTTGCTGGTCCCCCCTCCCTCAGTGGCTTCTCTCTTCCCTATCCCACTTCCCATTACTCACTGCCAGGGACTCCAAGGCAGACTGGTTTGAATAGATTCGAAACCTTTGGAGAAATGGAAGAAAATGTTGGGGCTTGTGCTGGGGGCCTGCGCTTCCTATCAACACCCAATCCCTCACCCCTGTTACCTGCGTAAATCCATCTGGGCCCGAAGTGCCTTTCCCCGAAGACCCATTTTTGCACTGAGACGGGCATCCTAAAGGAAAGGAGGGGCAGTGATGTTTCTGATCGGACCACCTCCCAGCCCTTGGCAGTTCTCCCCTCACCCTCTCTTAGCACCGAACCATGGTCATGCTGGACAGCTGCACTTGGGGCTGGTCAGGTGGTACCAAGGCAATGACAAGGCCAGTGGTGACAGAGATGGTGGTGCCTGAAGGCTTAATGGTGCATCGAGGTGGTGCAAGGACCTGCAGCTCCAGCTTTAGCGGTGCATCTATCACTGCTGGACTCTTCAAAGAAAGAAGGGGAGACAAGTTAAGGTTGGGTTTAGTGGGAAGGACAGCACAATGTCATGGAAAGAAGCATAGTGATCTGGAATCAGATACCCTGGTTTGAATTCTGGCTGTTACCACTACCTTTGGTACCTCAGACAAGACACGAATTTCTTGTCTGCATTTCACCATCTGTCAAATGAGGGAGCTGAACTAAATGATTACTAAGGTCTCTTGCAGCTCCAGAGTTTGTGGATTTGTTATAGTCTGAAATGGTGAAAAAGAATTGTCTGGATGGTAGCCCTTGGGGAGAGCCATGGAAAAGGTGGGGGCAGCAATGGGAGGAGGGCCAATTAACAAGGCCGAATTCAGGGTCTGCTCTTTGCTATCCCGCTGGGATACATCATCACTGTCAGAGCCTGTCAGTCAATAAGCATTTATTAAGTCCTTACTAAAAGGCCGGGCACCGTGCTGGGAATACAAAAAAAAAAAACAACAACATGGTCCTTGCCCACTGGGAACTTGAATTCTAATGGAGACATGCAAGTAACTATATACACATAAGATATATAGAAGAGAAGGCACTGATGGGGGGAGAAAAAGGCCTCATGCAGGTGATATTTGATCTGAATCCTGAAGGAAGTCAGGGAAGCCAGGAGGTGGAGGTGAGGAGGGGGCATTCCAGGTATGAGGGACAGCCAGGGCACAGAGAGTGGGGAGACAGTGTCATCATTCAAGGAACAGCGAGAGTCACTGGATTATATAGTACATGGAGAGGAGCAAAGTGTAATAAGACTGGATAGGCAGGAAGGGGCCAGATGGTGAAGGACCCTGAAAGCTGAACAGAGGAATTTATTTCTCTGTCTGAATGGCAGCCCCCCAAGAAGGCTATTTAGAAATGCCTTCCTGAACTTTCTCTGATCCTGGAGGTAATAGGGAACAACAGGAGTTTGAGGATACACAAGTTAATACTATATACAAGTTAATATTTTTTATATATATACATATATATATATGTACATATGTCACCTGGAGGTAATAGGGAACAACAGGAGTTTAAAGTTACACAAGTTATTATATTATTATATATTATATATTACATATAATATATACTCATGCTAACTTCAGGGAGGTTAATCACCAGGGTGCCAATGTTTTTTGGCCCCAGCAATTCTTGAAGAGCATTTACCAAGTTATAGAAATGAGTTGCAGTCTGCATTGGCAGAGGAAGTGTCCACATTAAAATCACAGATCTTTGAAATATCTGTTCTGTGGACTCAGACCAAGCATTCATATGCTTTAGAGCAGAAAGGGACCTTACAGATCATCTAATCCCTCCCTATTATTTTATAGATAAAGAAACTGGGACCAGAGAAGTGAAATGACTTGTCTAAAGTCACTATTAAGTACTATCAAGTAATAGAGTCAGAACTCAAACTCGGATCTTCTCACTCCAAATCCTGGGTTCTTCATCCATCTAGAGATGGGGCTCCAGACTCCTCTTGAGCCCCTCGGCTGGAGCACTCACTCCATGGAGTTGGAGTATATACTTAAACTTCTATATGGAAGCTTCTCCTATATCCCCTCCCTTTTCAGAGTGAATTCTCTCTCCCTCCCATACAGCCAATTCCATCCTCCCATCTCTCTCACCAACAAAATGATGCTCCCGAAGAAAGTGGCCCTCAGTACCATGTCCAGGTCTTTAGGCACCTGAGTCAAGAAAAGGAAAAAGAGAGATGGGGGGTGGGGGGAGGAGAGGGAAGAATTTGTAGGTTAGACTTGAGAAGTCAACTAGACCAGTCCTCTGCCCCTGAGTTTTCTCTGTATCATCCTCATTTTTGAACACTTCCAGCAACAGGGAGCTCCCAACTTTGCAAGGCAGAAAGATTCTTTCACCTGAATTCATTTGTTCACACTATGTCCTCCCCCCTCCATGTTGGCCTTAGCCTATCAGTGGGTCAAATACCACCACTTGGGGACCCCTCTAAACCTTACCCTCTGCCCCTGCCACATCATCTCACCTTGTCCCCAACAAGCTCCAACCGGAATGCCCCAGCTTGAAAGTAACTGTCCATAGCAGAGTCAAAGAAGAACTCAGAGAAAGCCACATAGACCATCCTTTCGTCTTCCTGCAGTTGAGGCTCCACAGCCCGGTTAGGGAAGCTGGTGTTGGCCTCCACCAGAGGGAAGAAGGCTCCCTGAGGGACAGGAGCAGAAAGGTCTGAGCATCTCAGAGCAGCTCAGCCTGAGCATGCCAGAAAGGAATGTTTGGATGAGCGAACACTCGGCTGGGGTCCCAAGTGCCCCAAGCTGGGCACTCACCCGGAAGTTCATGTCCAGATTGCTGGCCGAGGTCACTGGATCACTCAGGAGGGAATAGTCAATGCCGACGTACTGGTCCACTGCACTTCGTACTAAATGCGAAGGTTTGTTTATTACTTCGACAACCAATCAACTCAATGACTTTTAATGAGGCAGCCTACATAGAATTATGCTTCCTGGGAGGCAGGGCTATGCAGTGGCCAGAACTGGGACTTAGAGTCTGAAGAGAAATGGTTCATTTACCTAATCCCTGAGTTGTATCTCATCTCTACCACTAACTGGCTATGTGACCTTGGGCAGTCATTTCTGTAAAAATGGGGGATAACACTTGTGCTAACTTGTTGTTCAGCCATTTTCAGTCATGTCTGACTCTTCATGAACCCATTTGGGGTTTTCTTGGCAGAGATATTGGAGTGGTTCGCCATTTCCTTCTGCAGCTCATTTTACAGATGAGGAAACTGAGGCAGAGTTAAGTGACTTGCCCAGGGTCACACAGAGAGTAAGTGTCTGAGGCTGGATTTGAACTCAGGAAGACTCTAGGCCAGGTGATCTATCCACTGTGCCACCTACCTGCCTTCGCACTATCTACCTCTCTTCAAATGAGGCTGTGGCTGTAATGAGTTTACAGTCAGTCAGTGGTCCTGGGTCTGACATCTGCTGTCTGCTTTTGCTCCTTACTGCCCATGTGCGATCCTGGGCATGTGACACCCCTCTTTGGGCCTGGGTTTCCTCTTTATTTCATTTTATATTGTGGGGGATGGGGGGAGAGAAGGTAATCAAGGTTCAGAGACTTGCCCAGGGTCACACAGCTAGTAAGTGTCTGAGGTCACATTTCAACTCAGGTTTTCCTGACTCTGGGGCCAGTGCTCTATCACCACCTAGCAGCCCCTGAGTCTGAGTTTCCTAATCTGTAAAATGAGAGGCCTGAGCTAGAAAGGTAGGAGTCCTCTCCAGCTCTAAAAAGCCACGATCCTTTGTAAAGCGTTGTGTAACCGAGGAACGAACTCTATTTAGCCTCA